TCGGACCGCGCCTGAACGTCGCACCTAGAATTTCCTCCCACCAAGATTGTGGGCAGATTGTTTGTTTTCCTCAGTTAAATAAAATAAAAAAGATATTTAGGTCACTGAGGCCCCGCACCGAATATTAGAAATTGTCAATTTTATCATTCCTTCTTTTTGTCGGTTTTGGCCAAAGAGTGAACGAATCCTTGTTGCTTTGTAACATGTTATTGTGGAACGTGAACCAATTTATTTCCTTGTCTTACAATATTTTAAACGTTCTTCCCCCCAACCCCACCCTCGGAATTAACGAAGTTAAGCAAAAAAATAGGGGAAAAGAATACCATTGCTAAACCCATTATATATTTAAAATGAATTTAAGCCTTTGCTTTGGAAGTGTCTAATCAGCTGGTATAATCATTGCGGGATGTGGTGGAAAACTGTAGGTTGGAGATTGTGGTCAGCTTTGTCCTGCATCTTACTAAAAGATAAGTGGTTTGGCTGTAGTTGACAAAAATCTGTGCAATACTTAGTATTTCATTATTAAGTGTTTAGATGATAAGATGATCATCCAAACCCTGATGAGATGATCAGATTTGCAACTAATTCAGGTGTATGTTGGAAATTACCTAGCCTCTCCCACTTTTTTAAATAGCTTTATATAATTTTTTTATATAATAGCTGTTAACATAATTTTTATATAATAGCTTTATATAATTCACATATCTTTATACAATTCACCCATTTAAAGTGTAATTATGTTGGTTTGGTATATTGAGAGTTATGCCAACCCATCACCACCATCAATTTTCTCTCCAAAAAGAAACTACCCATTAAGTTACTCCCCATTCCCTTTAATCCTCCTACCCGTCCCTTTCCCAACCACTCATCTACAGATTTGCCTATTTTGAACATTTCATATTAATCTGCAGTATGTGAGCCTTTTTGATTGACTTTATCTTAGAATAGTATTTGCAAGTTTCCTTCATGTTACAGCATTATCGATGCTTCATTTCTTTCATGTATGGACATAGCATGTTCTATTTACCCATCATCTGTTGATGGCCATAAAGATTGTTTCCACCATTTGTCTGTTATATGTAATGTTGCTATGAATATTGTGTACAAGTTTTTGTGTGGACATATTTTCATTTTTCATATATATATATATATATATATATGCGCACATATTCCTAGAAGTAGAATTTCTTGATCATATAGTTGGTAGCTACCAGCATATTTAACCTTTTGAGAAACTGTCAAATTGTTTTCCGAAGTATGAGAGTTCCCATTTCTTCATATCCTTGCCAATACTTGTTGTTATCAGTCTCTTTGATAAGTAGCCATTTTAGTGGGAATGAAGTGGTATCTCTTAGGGATTTTGATTTGCATTTCCCAATGGCTTATGGTATTGAGCATTTTTTTCATGTGTTTATTGGCCATTTGTATATCTTCTTTAGAGAAATGTTGAGTTTGCTCCTTTCTCCTTTTTAAAAATTGGATTGCTTGTCTATTACTGAGTTGTAAGAGGTCTTTATATAAAAGTCCCTTATCAGATACAAGATTTGCAAAATGTTCATAGCCCTTGGCTGCAAGTGGAGATATTGCTGTGAAGTAAGGATTCATTGTGCTCCTCATGGAAAGATGACCTACCTGGCTTGGGGAATTGTACCTCTACTATTACTTCAGCTGATATTAATTATTTATAATGTACATGCAGTTTATGATCACGTGAGGAGAATTTTCTGAGTCCTGAGGTTTTCATCATTACTCAGTTTTGACATTTTTAATCTAATTTTTGCTTTTTTTGTTTTAACCTGAGGTTTCACTTAGTTCTGAGTCTTTTTGCTCCTTGCTTTATTTTAGGACAGTGATTTTTTAAGATTCGGGTTGCATGTGTCATTGCTCCTTTCTATGCTTAATTTGTGAGACAGTATTTTAAACTTTATTGTGGTCCTGCCTGGGTAGCTCAGTTGGTTAGAGTTTCTTCCCCATACGTTAAGGTTGTGGGTTCAATCCCCAATCAAGGCACATACAAAAATCAACCAGTAAATGCATAAATAAATGGAACAACAAGTCAATGTGTTTCTCTCACTCGCTCTACCTTTTCTTCTTTCTCAAATCAATAAAAAATTTTTTAAAATAACAAACTTTCTTATACTGTCAATCAAAGTTATTTTGTTTTTTAAGATGGATTTAGACTGAGAAATCTCCCTCATAGAAAAGAAAATTTTGAAAACAATAATAAACTTTTCTCCATACTTTTCCATGGATCTAATCCCATTTTAAAACTGGTATAGTGGGAACTCTGCACTCTGTGGAAATAATTTGTCGTTAATGTGTAGACATGGGCATTTAACTCCAAACTATGTTTGTTGTACTTAAAATACCACTTTACTCAGCACTTAACTTTGACTAGGCACTAAATTGAATGATTTATTGAGTGGTTTACATATGTACATAAACGTATTACCTTCACTATTAACTTGTCAAGTACTGGAGTTATCCCTATTTTGCAAGTGAATCAACTGAAGTGAGAGTAGCTTGTCCAACTATTATACAGCAGAGCTGTGACTTGAAGAAAGCCCAGTCTATCAACCTACCAGGTACCCACCTCTTTAACTTTTAAAATACAATCTGTAGTTCCTAGAATGATACGGTATTTTGAGTACTATACTAAATATGCCATAGCATGTATGTTAATGTGCTATTTGTACATATTTTTAAGTTAAATAATAATGAAAGCATTTGGCTTAGTATTGTAAACACAGAGATTTATAAAATATGAAGTAATGGTCACAAGAAATTGGAATCATTAAAATGAATGACACTTTATACATGCTATATACACATAATACAGTGGCATATTGTGAAAAGTGAGATGCAATGAAAAGAGTATTGGGATAAAAAAAAGACCTAATTTTTAATCCCATCAAGTTAACTAGCCATGATGTCAGACAAATTGTATTCATTTATTCAACAAATATTTAGTAAGCATGTACCATGGGCCAGGCATTCCAAGAATTCAGGGGTGAATAGGACAGATAGGGGTCTTGCCATCATGGAACTTAGAGTTCAGTTAGAAATTCTGATAAATGAAATTCTCCTATGAAGGATATAGAGGTCTATGATAGAGAATAAGGAGATGATGGTAGAATGGATATTTCAGGTAACAGGTAACACTGAACAATATGTGCAAAAGCAGGAAGAGTTAGGTGTATTACTAGAAACTAGAAGATCAGCATGGCTGGGTGTGTATAATAGAGGACAATTTTAAAGCACTCTGAAACATGAGATATGTTAAACCCATTAGATATTTATTGAACATATAATCTTAGGAGTCAAAATTCCAGAAACTCAGAGGACACAGCACATACTTAGAAGGATATAGTCTAATGGGCAGAATGGATCAGGTAGTGAGGGGCTAGTGACAATTAAAGGCTGTTCCCTGTGTTTGGACTGCCCTTTATACTCTTCTACCCCTAGGAAATGCTTATTTATCTTTTTATGCCCAAACTTATATGTCCTAGTCTTTGTATCCCTGAGGCAAAGCTAGGTGTTGCTTTCTCTATTAATGCTTCTTTCTGTTTATAATAACTACTTTTAGTTTTTAAAATCATAGACATAATCATGGTGAAATTTTTTTTTAACTTACAGAAGATATACAGTAAATATTGAGTCCTTTCCCCACTCACCCTCAGTCACCTAGTCCCATTTCTGGGAGGTAACCACTTGTATTTTTAAATGTAGATATTTATATATTTTAAAAAACACACACATGAATTCTCAGTTATGGGGAAATAACAAACTTTCCTCTATCCTCAAAGTTCTTCGGGCTGGTCGAATAATCGAACAGACATGATATAGATTAGCAAGAGAAAAATAACCAAATTTAATACATACCCCCCCCAAATATGAAAGAGTCAGAAACCCCCACATGATAGTGGTTCAGAGAGAGGAAGGGGAATTGAGGTATATAAGATATCCTGAGCTAGGAATGAGATCATGTACCTTGGGGGCTTCAAAGAGTTATTGCAGAATGATAAGAACACGTTTATTTTATAGAAGTTTGTATTTGCCAGCAATTTGTGTCCAGGAAATAGTTGTTTCTTCATCTTTGAGTTGGTATAGATTTTTTTTCATTAGGATCAAAACTATAGGTACTGAAGCCTTTCTGGAGAAATTTAATAGTTGACCAGCTTTCAGACAAGAGAGAACTTTTATTTATTTCAGATATGTGAGCTACCTATTGATGCTATATTACAGTTATTTGGAGATTTGTAAATGAAAGAAAAGGACAAATGCTTGCGTTATGATAAAAACTCAGACATTTATTTTATTTTATTTTGAGAGTACATTTATTAAAGCTGAGGACAGTGAAACAAAGGAAGGACTTAAGGTAGAAGAAACAACAGGAGAGAGCGTGGTTCACAGATCAACGCTCAACCACTGAGTTACATCGGCCCGGCCAGATTGTGCTTTTAAATATTGACATTGAAAATCAGATCTTTAGATCTGTAAAGGTCCTCAAGAGATACTCTTGTCCAGTTCCCTGGCCCAGGGCAGCTAAATTATCCCAACTCTTGTTTGAGACCACTCAGAGTCCACAGAGGTAAAGGAACCTAGAGATAGGAGAAGGAAGGAAGGGGGTTGTGGTGGTGATTGGTACAAGAGCCATTCATTCATCTATTTATTCTGCACCTATTGTGTATCTTCTAAGTGCCAACTATTTATTGGGTACTTGGGTCAGCAGTGATCAAACAGATAAAAATCCTATCTGTCCTAGTGGAGGGGGAAATAGACAAAATAAAAAGTAAGTGCATGTAATATGTCAATAATACTATGCAGAAATATGAAGGAGGGCAGAGGGATAGGGATGTCATGGTTGGGGTAGGAGGTGCAGTTTGAAATGAAATGAACAAGGAAGCTCTCATTGGAGTGGCATTGAACAAAGACTTGAAGAAGAAGAGGGAATAATAATGAAAATGCTGGAAAGAATGTTTGAGGCAAAAGGAACATCAAATGTAAATGTCCTGAGGCAGCAGAACACCAAGTATGTTTGAGGAAAAGCAAGGACATCAGTGTGGCTGAAATAGAAGGAATGAGATGAAGAGCAGCAGGAATTGAGGGGCAAGATCATTGGCCTTATAGGCTAGTATAAGGACTTTGGCTTTACTTTGAGAAGTCATCAGAAGGTTTTGAGCCTGCTGTATTGAGAGGAGACTGTGGGGAGGTCACAGCAGAAGCAGGGAGATAGTTAGGATGTTTTTGCAGTAATGTTGGTGAGAGAGGGTAGTGGCTTGGATCAGGGAAGTAATGGTGAAAATTGTGAGAAGTGGCCAGATTCAGGATAGATTTCTGAAGACTGAGTCAACACGATTGCTAGTGGATTATAAGTGGGAATCTTCAATCGTGTTAAACCCAAAGAACTCTAATTATGGGAATTTTAGACGTGGTCCAAAACTGATAGGCAAGACTTGTCAGTGTGTTCAATAATTCACTGGTGAATTATGAAAAGCATGCCTTGGACTTTGGGTTCATACTCTTACCCTGCATATTCAGTGAAATTTCAGCTTATTTCAAACATTATTTACTTCTTAGCATTTTTTAAAGATTCATAAATATTCTTTTTAGCTTTTATTTCCTATGCATTGTTCTTTGTTCTCAAGTGTCTATATTTTTCTTCAAGGTAAAAAATGTTGTTAGCCCAAATAAATCGAGATTCTCAGGGAATGACAGAGTTTCCTGGAGGAGGAATGGAGGCTCAGCATGTTACCCTGTGCCTGACAGAGGCAGTAACTGTGGCAGGTGAGCAGTCTTATTTGAAGGGATCATGTGGGCTTGGAAATACCATTTATCTTAAGGGAAAATTAAAAATCACAACACTGTGTTTACTTCCCTCTTCTTGTTTATCTAAAGACAACCCAAAGCTAAGCCTTTGGATGGCATTTTTATCTTCATGTGGATGCTGGGTATGGCAGGGCAGGGAAACGTTTTTGTAAGTACTAGAAAAAGTCCCATTTGAGTCTAAATTAATCAGTCTGCCTTTTGCCTAATTTTCATTTTTAAAAAACAATTTAAATAGCATATACATATGGTGTTATCTAAAGAAAATAACTATCTTTTTATGATAGATGCTGACAATTTAGAAAATATGGAAGGTGTAAGCTTACAAGCAGTAACACTTGCAGATGGTTCTACCGCTTATATACAACACAATTCTAAAGGTATGTGCCTCATATATAACCCATTGGTTAATACCAGCAATGTATAATAACCTCAAAGTTGAGCACTTAGCAACTATACATGATCTTAACTTAGCAACTATACCCCTTCCTAATCCCTCCTAAAGATGCTGTATTGCATATGGTGATTTTCAACAGTTTCAGTTTAACTTATTTTTTTTAAATAAATATGTTTTTATGGATTTTTAGAGAGAGAAACATTGATTGGCTACCTCCTGCATGTCCTCCACTGGGGACTGAGCCTGCAACCTGAGCATATGCCCCAACCTCAAATCGAACCAGTGACCTCTTTTGTGCATGGGAGGACACTCAACCAACTGAGCCGCACTGACTGGGCTCAGTTTAACTTAAATATTGTTTTAATTTGGGGACACCCTTTGAGATATTCAGAAAATACTGTGGAGAATCAAAATTAGTGAGGCAGGAAGGAGTGTCCCCAACCTAATTCTAGTAAGACCTTTCTTGCTTTTTAAATTCAAATTATTATTTAATATTTTTAAGAAATATATTCAGGGATGAGAATGACAGCTGGCCTCACATACACGGACATATTGTCTATTCTTCCCAGCTCCAGCTTCCCCCTAGTCAGAGTACTGTTCCTAGGTGGCTCTGAAAGGCATATAGAGGTTATACTCATGTAGCCTGCTATAATGAGCCACTCTTCCTCTTGAACTTGTCTAATTGAAAATTGGAGGGGAGGAAGGATGGCTGAGGGAGGATTTTCTGCTTTCTGTAGGATCACTGGATGTGTTATTGAATTGCCTCAGAACATTGAGGGAAGAATCAAGATGAACATGATCTTAAGTAGTGTATGTTTTTATAGTTGATAATCATTTTGAAATTGTATAAAATTTAAAATTTTGTTTGTGCTAATTTATTGGCTTAAATGTTTTTTTGTTCCAGATGGAAAACTCATAGATGGCCAGGTCATTCAGTTGGAAGACGGTTCTGCTGCCTATGTTCAACATGTACCCATACCTAAAAGTAGTAAGTATTTCATGCTACTTACCTTCCTGTTTTTCATACTGCAGTATTTGCTACCTCAAGCTCCTCTTACTACTTAAACTCAGTCCTGATCTCTAGTCCTCCTCTGAAAGGGAAGATCAGTAGATGTCACATAGAGCTTATAAAGACCATTTTAACTTAATTGAGACTTTGTCTCAAAATAATAGAAAAGAACTTACTGGACTGCACTCTGGAGATAAGTGTGCAACAGTCCTAATATTTCTATTATTTTAGCTATTTAGCTAAATCCTACATGTCTCTGATTTTTTTCCCTTTTTTCTTTTTCTTCTTTCAACTCTTCTAATCCCCTGGTACATATTCCTAATATAAGTAGGAATATCTTAATATCTTTTTACCATTAAACACTTATTCAGAGTAGCTTTACTGAAATTACTTAAATGTTCAAGGACCCATAGAGCAAGGGTAGTTTTTATAATGTGTTCAATGATTTATTTTACTTATTTTACTCTGTTGTTGAATGATCAGAAAACATGGGATCTAAATGTAAGCATTGTTCTCGAGCAGGGGACAGTTTACGTCTAGAGGATGGTCAAGCCGTGCAGTTAGAAGATGGAACTACAGCCTTTATTCACCATACCTCCAAAGGTAAAATAGTTTTGGAAATGTGAATAAAGTAAGGAAGAAATGGGGACGTGGGAAAAATAAGACCTGCCTTTAGTTACTGAAGTGGTGTCATGTAAAAGAAGAATTATACTTGTTCTCAAATACAAGATGGCAGATTTTGGCACAATCTAAGGAAAAATTTCTGATAATTTGAGCTGTCCTATAACAATTCGGAATAGCAAACCCCTGTTTCCTGAAGGACTTCAAATAGAGGCTACTTTTAAAATATGAAATTAGCCCTGACTGGTATTTCTCAGTGCTTAAAGCATTGGCCCAAGCACTGAAGGGTCATGGGTTCGATTCCCAGTCAAGGGCACATACCTCAGTTGCAGGTTTGATCCCCACCCTGGTTGGGGTGTGTGCGGGAGGCAACCAATTGATGTGACTCTTTCACGTGGATGTTTCTCTCTCTCTCTCTCTCTCTCTCTCTCTCAAAAAATATCTTTTGATATTTTTGAAGATTAAAAATTCTATATAATAAAAGGGTAATATGCAAATCGACCTAATGGCTGAACCACCAGTCACTATGACATGCACTATGACATGCACTAGGGGGCAGATGCTCAACGCAGGAGCTGCCCCCTGGTGGTCAGTTTGCTCCCACAGGGGGAGCACCGCTCAGTCACAAGCTGGGTTCACGGCTGGCGAGTGCAGTGGCAGTGGTGGGAGCCTCTCCCACCTCCGCAGCAGCACTAAGGACCCCTCGGGGATGTCTGTTTGCCAGCTGGCAAGTGGACATCCCCTGAGAAGTCCTGGACTGCAAGAGGGCACAGGTCGGGCTGAGGGACACCCCCCTCCCCCCAGTGCATGTATGTCATGCACTGGGCCTCTAGTATATATATAAAATTAAATATTTTAAAGTTAAATTGTTGACTTTTTTCTCTCTTAAATAGAACTTCTTTGCCTATTGTGTTAAAACTAAATTAAAATATCTGAAACAAATAGAGCAAAATACTAACGTTTATTAACTTCATGTGGTGAGGACCAGGGCTTTGAGGTGGAATTCAGAGGTATAATGAGCACAGCTCTGCAGCAAGATATCTGGGTTCAAATCTTGGTCAGCTATTCTTTAGCTGTGTGACTTTGAACAAATTACTTAACCAAAAATATTTTTTTTCTTTAGCAGTGGGAGTTAATCATGGGTTCATTTTAGTTGGACAGATTTACTATTTCATAATGCTGTGTACAGCTTTGTATGGTTATTTAAGGCGGGGAAAACCATGGCCTTTGGAGTCACATTGACATGAATCCAGATCCTTGTTTTTTGACATACTGATTTTGGCTATTAATTAATTTTATTTATTTCCCAGTTCCTACGGAAAGTGACTTTACTTCCCAAAACCTCAACTTCCCATTTGTACAGTGGGGGTGGTAAATATACCTGCCTCACAGAATCGTGAGGATTGACTGAAATAGCACATGTAAAGCACATGAGTCAGGGTTCAGTGTAACTACTCAGTAAAACTTCATTCCCTTCTTCTTTTAAATATGTAACTGTTCATCAGACTACCTTTAATTTAATGCCATTCTCTTCCATTCCCTCAGATAGTTATGACCAGAGCGCATTACAGGCAGTTCAGCTGGAAGATGGCACCACGGCTTACATCCACCAAGCAGTGCAAGTCCCACAGTCTGATACCATCCTACCAATTCAGGCTGATGGTACAGTGGCAGATCTGCATACTGGGGATGTCACAATTGATTCTGAAACCATCAATGCTTTGGAACAGTATGCAGCAAAGGTACATCATTTTACAGTATCAAGAACAACCTTCTTTATTTTTCATTAAAAGAAAAGAAAACAAAAAAGTATCTGATAAGAAACTGGCAGTTCAGAGTCAGAATCAGACAGCATCAAGGAGAAGATCAGCATCTTAAAAGAAGTGTGTAGAAAGAAATATTGGAAGAAAAATAAGGGATGGGATAAGAGCTTGTAGAAAATAAGTGGGTGACGGGTAACTCATAAAAGTTATATTCGAGGTTGAGTGAGTGCCATAAGAGAAATAATAAAGTGTAAGTAAAACTTATGAATTAAGAAGTAGAAATTAGAGATTGGAAAAGGTGAAGGAAAGTCTCAATTAAGTTTTATATCAAAACGGCTGGGTTTTTTCCCTGTGTTGAATATATATTTTTCATATAGTTTAAAAGGTTACTTTCCCAGTTTTTATTATGAAAATTTTCACACACAGAAATAAGCAATAATGAACCTTCATGTACTTATCACCCTGTCTAAATAATTATCAAAATGTAAAACTTTTTTAAGCTTTATTTTATTCCTATAGGTATCCATTGATGGAAGTGAAAGTATAACAGGTACTGGAATGATTGGAGAAAATGAGCAAGAGAAAAAAATGCAGGTATGTAAAGCTACTTTTTTATATAAGAATTTCTTTCTCAGCATTATTGTGCCCTTTTATGGATGAAAGCAAAAATAGGGAACTTGCCCTGGCCAGTTTTCTCAGTGTTGAGTGTTGGCCAGTGGACTAAAGGATTGTGGGTTAGATTCCTGGTCAAGGGTATGTACCTCAGTTGCAGGTTCGATCCCTGGCTTGGTTGGGGTGCGTGCAGGAGGCAACCAATTGATGTGTCTCTCTCACATCGATATTTCTCTCTCTTTCCCCCCTCCTAAAATATATATAAATATAGATACAGATATATCCCTTGAGTATGTTAAGGAATACCTGCATACAATGGAGATGATACTTGGGGTTTTTTTTCTAGAGTGGCAACACAGCAGTCCCCCCCTTAATAGCGGTTTTAGTTACCCACAATCAACTGCAGTTTAGAAATATTAAATGGAAAATTTGAACAGTCATAAGTTTTAAATTGTGTGTCATTCTGAGTAGCATAATGAAATCTCACACTTTCCTGCGTAGGATGTGAATTATTTTTTAGTCCGGTGTATCCTTGCTGTATACACTACCTGCCTGTTAGTCACTTAGTAGCTGTCTCAATTATCAAATAGACTGTCATTGTATTATAGTACTTTTTTTCATGCACTTAATCATATTTTCAAGCACTTAATAATATTTTACTTAATAATGGCCCCAAAGCACAAAAGCAGTGATACTGGCAATTTAGATATGACCAAGAAAAGCCATAAAGTGCTTCCTTTAAGTGAAAGTTGAAAGTTCTCAACTTAATAAGGTATTTTATCATCTCATAACATCATCATCGTAAGAAGGATGATTACAGCACAATAAGATATTTAGAGAGACCACATTCACATAACTTTATTACAGTATATTATACATGTTATATTAATTATTGTTCATCTCTTACTGTGCTTATTTTATAAATTAAACTTTATTATAAGTATGTAGGTATAGAAGAAAACATAGTGCATATAGGGTCCCATCCAATCTGTGGTTTCAGGTATCCACTGAGAGTCTTGTAATGTATCCCTGTGGATAAGGGGGGACTACTGAAGATCTGTGAGCTTTAGCCACTCCTCATGGATCTCCTTTCGACTTCTTCCAGAGTCACTGACTTCAGCCATGGAATGGAATTAGCCTAACGGGCTCAGCATGATAAAATCTTCGTACAATGATAACTTAAGTCTGGAAAATAGTAATTTCATCTATTTTATCTCTGTGTAAACAATTTAAGTAATACTTTTTGTTTCATCTAGATTGTCTTACAAGGACATGCAGCAAGAGTAACTGCTAAATCTCAACAGAGTGGAGAGAAGGCATTTCGATGTGAATATGATGGATGTGGAAAATTATATACAACAGCTCATCATCTTAAGGTATATATGAAGAAATGCTGGGTCTAGTTATGAGAATACCTAGGACATTAAATGCCAACATGATAAATTTGTAGCATTCAAATGCATTGTTTTCCTTCATTTATCAAGGTATAGACCAGTGATGGCAAACCTTTTGAGCTCGGCGTGTCAGCATTTTGAAAAACCCTAATTTAACTCTGGTGCCATGTCACATATAGAAATTTTTTGATATTTGCAACCATAGTAAAACAAAGATTTATATTTTTGATTTTTATTTTATATATTTAAATGCCATTTAACAAAGAAAAATCAACCAAAAAAATGAGTTCGCGTGTCACCTCTGACACGCGTGTCATAGGTTTGCCATCACTGGACTACAGACACACATTCACACTCACACTCAATCAAAGACACACAAAAGCCTATGCAGATTTTAGAAAATGTCAACTTTTTGAGGGCTTCGACTATGTTTACTTCATCTCTGTCTACATACTGGCACATGGTAAGTACTCTATATATTTGAATACATTTTTGTCAAATGTGAAATTTATAAAATTATATCAGTAGTGTGTATAATCACTTTGTTAACAGTGATTTGCTGAAATCTAGCAAAAGTTGGTGTTAGTTTGTCCTATCGTCCAAATATACAGGCCAAGTACTTTCATTGCAGCTAAACACAATATACCATGACTCAAAAATAATAGCTCACAATAACTGAATAATTTACAATGTAGCAGGAAGTGTGCATTTAACATGTGTGAAGTAGCAACCTCAGAGCCCATCGTCACTACTTAGCAGTGTGTAACCTTAACATGTTACCTACCCTCTTAGTACCTTATTTTCCTTATCTATAAAATTGGATGATAAAGTATATTCCCATAGAGTAGTTATGAGAATTAAATAAAACTATACATGTAGAGTATCAAAAAGAATGGCCTGGCATGTGGTAGAAGTTCAATAAATGTTGGCCACTGTCATGATCATTCATTTGTCACAGCAGCACTCTGTGGTAGATACTGTTTATGTCCCCACTTTACAGAGAGCATTTAAGGCTTACAGCAGGCAAGTGTCGTGGCCACACTGCTAGTCAGTGGTGAAGCCTTGCCTCAGGTGGAGGCAAGCAGCAGCCTCTGTATCTTAACCTTCCATTGGGTAGCCTCTCCCTACACTCTGCTCCTGCCTCTCACCATGCAGTGTTCCATACACACACCTTTGAGCACTCTAGAAAAATTCACACCTCCACTCTTCCTGTTTCTTATTTAAAATGAGTACTACTTAACAGAATATTTTGGTCTATATTGAGAATTCCTGGACTGTAGTTTTTGAGAAAAGTTACCTTTTTGTGTGCATGTGGTTTTTCTAAAGTAACATACAAATAACAAAATAATTCAGCAGTGAAAAAAAAATAGGTCTGTGTTGACACCATCTACCTGAGAAATGCCTAAAGGAAACAGAATCATTTTGTGTTTTAATGACAGGTTCATGAGAGGTCACACACGGGAGACCGGCCTTATCAGTGTGAGCATCCTGGCTGTGGGAAAGCATTTGCAACAGGTAAAAACATGAATTTGCTTCACTTAGGAGTCAAGCAGAGGCAGGCCTGAGGCAGGAACTGACCCCTTGCTTTTGTCTGAATTAGCATGTACACAATGACCAGTTTTTCAGTCTGTCCCTACTTGCTCTATTCTCTCTGTTCCCATTTTTCTCCTCAGGCCTATTTTATTTCTGCCTACTTTGTTTGGTGTTTCACTCCACACCCTGCTTTATTTTAGCAGGAAAAATAAAAGCTGGCACAGAATTTAACATTAGGACAGACCTTAGGGGGAACCCTGGGGAATTGGGACAGATCCAGCAGGGCCAGGAGGGGTACCTCATTCCATGTCTTGAGTCCACTTCAGGTTTTTGGGTTATGAGTTATGAGCATCTAATAAGACGGGAACACTTTTTAAAAAGACACATCCTCTTCTAGACAGAGATGAAACTATTGAATTTCCAGCATGACAGTCCTGAGCTGTCATATTCTTGTACATTTTATTTTTTATTTTTATTGATTTCAGAGAGGAAGGGAGAGGGAGAGAGAGAAACATCAATGATGAAAGAGAATCATTGATCGGCTATCTCCTGCATGCCCCCACACTGGGGACTGAGCCCGCAAACCGGGCATGTGCCCTGACTGGGAATCGAACCGTGACCTCCTGGTTCATAGGTCCACGCTCAACCACTGAGCCATGCTGGCCAGGCCTCTTGTACATTTTCAATAGTTATTTTGTTGTGCTTGCCTAGTATTATAGCCTTGGTGTTTACTATATTTTTCAATAGCTTAATCTCAACGGGCATGGTTAGAGGGGTCTTGTGTAATTAAATTTCTTTTAAATTTTTCTTAAAGGTTATGGATTAAAAAGTCATGTCAGAACTCATACAGGAGAAAAGCCATATCGGTGTTCAGAAGATAATTGTACTAAATCCTTTAAAACTTCAGGAGATCTACAGAAACATATCAGAACTCATACAGGTACAGTACTGTGTGAACAAATCTGTCTAGGCCAGCGGTCGCCAACCGGTGGTCTGTGAGGTTCGAAAGGTTAGTGACCGCTGGTCAAGCAGTCCTTACCTGCAGAGAGGGGACTTGGGGAAGGAGTCTCTGAAAGAGTTTCAGGGAGTCATCATCAAGGTTTCTTTTGAACTGAAATTCTATGCCATTTGCTATTTTCACAGGTGTGCTTCTTTCCAGGATGAGGACCCATAACTTTGTTAGATTCTCAAATGGGTCCATATCCCAAATAAAGGTTAACAGTGGCCCTACACCAGCAGTTGCCAACCAGTGGTCCATGGAGGTCCGAAAGGTTCTCGACCGCTGCCCTAGACCACCAACTCTCAGTATCTAAAAGGGATTGTCTAAGTAACAGGCTTATTTACCTAGGATTACACACATACTTAGTAGACCAACTGAGACCAGAACCTAAGGCACCCAGTGGTTTCTCAACTTAGTATTGCTTCTCATGCATCAAGCTGCTGCTAAAAAAAAGTGTTTGAACCCTGACTGGTTTGGCTCAGTGGATAAAGCGTCGGCCTGCGGACCAAAGGGTTCGAGTCCAGTCAAGGGCATGTACCTTGGTTTCGGGCACATCCCCAGTAGGGGGTGTGCAAGAGGCAGCTGATCGATGTTTCTCACTCATCGATGTTTCTAACTCTCTATCCCTCTCCCTTCCTCTCTGTAAAAAATCAATAAAATATATTTTTTAAAAAAAGTGTTTGAGCCCCTAACAGCCTCACAGAAAGAAAGGCTTGCAGTTTCCTCGTGATCATCTATCCTCCCCTTAAAATTTTCTTCTCTTTTTCTAAAACAGCATTTTGCCCTTATCTTCCCTCTCTTCCGCTCTCTTCCTTGTGTGTAGAATTGGTGTTATAAAGGTAATTTTTTGCTTTGGATTGGAGCTGGAAGAATTTTAGAAACTGTTGATAAGAGATTCTATTATAAGCTGTTGACTAAGTGACATAGTATAAGAATTTTGTTTGAGATTTACTTCAGATGTTCTAAATATAGTGTAAGTTTGTCCCCAAATACCTCTAAGCATTCTGAAATAGTTTATCAGATTTTTCTGGAGGATTCTTCCAGTCATTAAAATTTAACTTTTAGTTCAAATATGATTTAAAATTGGCTTTACTTTATAATGTTCAGGAACAAAGCTGTAGGTCTGTGCTTCTAGTTCATTCATACACTTACTTTTATCCATTGTACCAGAAGCAAGTGTTTCCAAGCTCCTGCAAATTCTATTTGGATTTGCTATATAATGCCAACTTTTTATATAAAGTTACATAAAACCATTGAACTAGTTCCATTAATATTTGGTCCAAACATCAGAATTGTGATTCCTTTGATAGTATTCATTTCGCACACCACATATTCATGTGGTTTTTAAATTATGAGTATTTTCATTGGTAAAATGTTAGATTGAGTAGGGGGTTTCAGGGACTTCTATTATAAACAAGTGATTTAAGTGGGAAAACAAAGAAAGGTGCTGCAGAGTTAAAACATTTGAGCTGGGAAAACATTAGTGGTCATTTTTTGATCCAGAGAGGAGAAGAGATTTAACCAAGATAAACTCTTTATTCGCCTTAGGTTAATGTATTGAACAGAACTCTCATTAAAGAAATGATCGAGGATTCCTGCTCCTTTTTATTATTTTATTTTAAATATTTTTTATGTTTTTATAGATTTTAGGGAGAGGGAGGAAAAGGGAGAAAGAGAGAGAGAGAAACATTGATTGGCTGCCTCCTGCATGCCCCACACTGGGGATCAAGCCTGAAACCCTGGCTTGTACCCTGACCAGGAATCAAACCAATGACCTTTTGGTGCATGGGATGACGCTCAACCAATTGAGCAACTCGGCCGAGGCTCCTGCTCCTTTTTGTTTTTAGTTAATTTATTATTATTATTTTTTTAATCCTCACCAGAGGATATTTTTTTTCCCATTAATTTTTGAAGAGGGTGGAAGGGAGGGAGGAGAGGGGGAGAGAGAGTGAAATATCCACCTGAAAGAGACACATGGATTGGTTGCCTCTGGCACTTGCCCAGAGAGGCCAGGGATCCGAACCTGCAAATGAGGTACATGCCCTTGGCTGGGAGTCAAACCCTTCATTCATCTATCTACACACACACACACACACACACACACACACACACACACACACACACGCGCGCGCGCGCGCGCGCACACACACACATATTTAGAGAGAGAGAGAGATTTTCTTTTTAATCCCAGAAGTTGTTTGCTTTATTTGAGCTCATTTAAGAAAAGGCCACATGGGAATCAAAAGCAAAGGCTGTTTTCTGACTGACGGTTTAAAGGCCCTTTGGGTTTTGATGTTGTATAAAGCCTATATGAAAAAAGGATTATAGCTGGCAAAGTAGACTTTTAAAGTAGACTTTTTCATAAGATTCGAATGAGAATAATAAAATATTCAGCAAGGATTTTTGAGGCATCTTATGTGCTAGACACTAGATTTTAAAACAACCAAAAATTATTTTTCTTCAAGGTATTATAGAATAAATAAAGTTGTGGAGGGGTTTGTAGGGAATTCTATAGTTGTTCTAACTGAATCTAGCATTGTTCTTAATCCTACTTTGACTGTGTGTGTGTGTGTGTGTGTGTGTTTCTTTATGACATTTCTTTCTTTGCTTTTCTCAGCTTATTTTTTAATATGCCCATCTAAATGATTCCATCTTGGGGAGTCATGTAATCAGTGATGAGTTTTGAATACTGTTCAGGTTTTCCTATGTAAATTTAAGTTTGGAGTAGAAGATGCTGTTTGGGGTGGGGCGGGGGGTGGAAAGGAACAATCTGAAAGGGAAGCTCACATACAAGAATTCTAGAACCTTGAGCATTACCCTAAGCAGAATTAAAGAATCAGACATTATAATTTTTTTTGTGTATTTTTGTACCATTTACTTTATTCCCTTGTGCGTTTTCAGGAGAAAGACCCTTTAAATGTCATTTTGAAGGCTGTGGTCGGTCTTTTACAACATCAAATATCAGAAAAGTGCATATTAGGACACACACAGGAGAAAGACCTTATTACTGCACAGAACCAGGATGTGGAAGGGCATTTGCCAGTGCAACCAATTATAAAAACCATGTGAGGATACACACAGGTAACAGTCTCTGATTTTTTGGTCTTCTAACCTTTTCTTTTAAGAATAAACATCTTTCCCTGGCCGGTGTGGCTCAATTGGTTGGGCACCGTCCCGTGCACCAAAGGTCACCAGTTTGATTCCCAGTCAGGGCACATTGTCTGGGTTTCTGGCTCCATCCAAGGCGAGGGGCATGCAGGAGGCAGCTGATCCATATTGTGCTCTTTCATCATTGATGTTTCTATCTCTCCTTCTCCCTTCCTCTGTCTCTAAAAATCAATTTAAAAAAAATAAACACCTTTATTACATGAACTAAGATAGGAGGGAAGAGGATATATTGCCTTTCTAGGCCTTGCCCTCTAGCACATAACCATCTGCTCGGCCACACTGGCCTGTCTGGAGCGACATGTACAAGAAATTTCCCCTGCTGGAACTGCTCCTCTAGAAGACTGTTGATTGTGGCATTCTTTTTCCTTTCATCATGTTTCTTAATTGTCTCTGATCATTTTCTGTTTAAAGTCTCTTCCTCCTCAGGAGTCAGTTTGGCCCATTTGTAGCACAAAAGTTTGTAATTTTGATGCTCCACGTTGTGGACATATTTTTGGTGGGTGGGAATGGAAAGGTGAATGGAATGGGAGAGTAGAGCAGAATGTGCATTAGTTTTACAAGAAATTTAAAAATATTTTTATTACTGACATTAAGAGTAAATTGTGATAACTCAAAATTAAAAGACATTTTTATAGACTGAAGCTTCAGTTGCTTAAGTCAGTGTTTCTCAGGCTGCACTCAAAAACCCCTGGGTATTTCTGGATATATTTTCAGGGATCAACAACAATCCCTTTCTTTTGAACAGTGTCATTAACAAGTTTGAATATTGCTATGGGCAGAGGGGAAGCTTTAAGAGAACATAAAGAAAATTTGCTTTCTTAGAAAAAGAAATCACTCAGTCAATAATATAAAAAGAAATTAAAGGGACATGGGACCATAAGCAAAGAAACTGATCAAGGTCATTTAGAATATTTGAAGTGAGGTAGAGAGAGATACAAATGAAACACATTTAAGAGGTATCGGCTAAGGACTTAGTAACCAAGATAGTCATGAGGAATAAAGAAGAACCTATCATTCTAGCTTGTGATAAAGTTGAATGATGCTAAGATGGGGAAGAGCAGGTTAGAAAGGAAGTGTAGTGGTGTCGCTTAGGAATATATAGGTCTCTAGGTATCCCTCAACACCTAAACTCTTACCATCTGTATATTTGGTATAATGATTTGCAAAATTTTTACTCACAATTGATGATCCAAATTGAAAACCACTATAATAAGTCTACTTGTGGGTGTATTTTTCTGTGAAAGGAAAAAATATTAAGTTGCATGTGAGTCTCGATGAGAGAACAAACAGTATACTGGAGTCATATTTCTGATACAGAAATATCTTATGCTTGCTTTGTGTGTTATATGTTATTGCTATTATTTTCCCTGCATAATTAAGTTAATGTATTTTCTAAGAAAGTGGAAAATTGCCTATAAAACCCTAAGAGGTCTAAAAAGGTGGCTGTAGGTTGGAAGAAAAATTATATTTTGATCATATAATTTGCATTCCTTTTATAGCTTTAATATATTTCATTTTTGCCCCCCGGCCTGGTTCAGTGGTTGAGCATCAATCTATGAACCAGGAGATCATGGTTTGATTTCCGGTTAGGGCACATGCCTAGGTTTCGGGCTCAATCCCCAGTAGGGGGCGTGCAGGAGACAGCTGGTCTATGATGTTTATAAAATCCTTACAGTAAACTGCATTAGTTATAATAATAATTGTATTTATTGTCATTATTAGTGTGATATCATTAATCATATCTAGATTATCTAGTTATAGGTAGATTACAGTTTTATCAAAAAAGCTTAGAGTTGAACTGGGAAACATCTTCATCCTTAATTTTCTCATCCTTTGAAATTAAGGGGAAAGTGGTATTCAGACACAGGATGACACTCAGGGTGCAGACTACCCTTTAACCAAATCAAAAGCATTGTTAGGGAGTCTTTTCTTGTGAGCTGCCTCATGTCAGGATAGAAAGGGATTTGGCAACTACTTCTTTTTGCCATTATAGCCCCCTTTTCCTCCCCCTTCTCCCAAAGTATGGAATGATTATGCCTTCATGTGTAAAAGTTGATTTATTTTGTTTTGGTTTTTTTGCCTTTCTTTACTTAGGGGAAAAGCCATATGTTTGTACAGTCCCTGGGTGTGATAAAAGGTTTACAGAATATTCTAGTTTGTATAAACATCATGTTGTTCACACTCATTCCAAACCTTACAACGGTAAACACTGTGGGAAGACATATAAGCAGATCTCCACGCTGGCCATGCACAAACGGACCGCCCACAACGACACAGAGCCAATCGAGGAGGAGCAGGAAGCCTTCTTTGAGCCTCCCCCAGGTGAGGATTTTGTCTAGTGTCTCTGTGTTTGAGAATCAACAGTAATTTATGATTTATAGTATTTTCTCAACTGATAGAGCTTCATTTAAATAATCACACAACCGTACAATTTATAATTGTGATAAGTGCTATCAAAGAAAGTACTTCAGGATGTATAAGAAGGGAACTTTCGTCTAGTCTGGACATCAGAGAAAACTTCCCTGAGGAAGTGATTTTTGAGATCTAGAGTGTTAACTAGGTGGAGAGTTGGGGGG